GCAATCACTCCAGTAAAGGATTAAATGTATTACATCCCCTTTGTGTGTGTTTGTGTGTGTGTTTGTTTGTGCGTGTGTTCCTATAAATTCTTTATTGTTTACTACCCTCCCCCAACCATGGTGCAAGGTTTGAAGCATATACAGAGGTGTGCTTTGATAAATGTCTCTCTCTGGATCCAGAGCACACTGACACACGTCTTCTGTATGATGATCTAATTTCAGGATAAAGCTTGGTGATGAAAGTGGCAACAACTTGCAAAGCAACGCACACTGCAGATGGTGCTGAATGAAGCTCAATATAAGTGCTGAAAATGCTCTGTCCTGCAGTGGGGTTGGGTGGTATCTATTTTTTCTTTAATGCCTTCTTGATTTACTGAAATTTTACTGTGGTATGCATTAGGTTATAAAATAATGTGTTTCAAAAAAGAAAAATGAAATCAAAAATAAAAGCAAGACTGTATACCTCCACTGAGGATATAAAACCAACTGTCTCCACAACAGGATGATGAGTCTCTGGATCCAGGGACATTTATATCTGTGTTTGTCGTTTGTGATGTTAACAGTAACAGTTTTTGCTGTGTTAGACTTTACAATGATGTTTGTGGCTTTTTGCGGAGGAAGGGGCTGAGTGCATCCATCTGAATGTTAGTCGACTCTTATGAGCTGGAGAAGGCCTAGCCCATTATTGTAAGGGCAGTCCTGGTCTGCATTACTGATGTAGAATCTCCAACTGTCAAGGGAGTCAGAACGATGGAGGCAGGATGTGAGAGCCATGATAGGGGGTCCAATAAAAGTCTATATTCTGTCTTCACCTGTTTGACTGTCTAGCGTGCACGTTGGAGTCTTCAGGTGATCGGATTTCAAGGCTGGTGTCCGTGCACGGAGACCTTGTCATGGATCATCCTGTCAAGGGGGGCCTGAGGCCAGTGCATGGGAGTGGACCCAAATGCAGACACTAAACGGAACAGCAATAAGATATTAGTAAACTTTATTGCGAACACAGAGATTAGAAATGACACGACGAGGGTACGTAGTGCAGTCTCTGACATGGAGGCACTGGAAAAGAGGGCGTCTGTAGTTCTGAGAATGAGGAGTTAATGCAAGGAGGAGAGAGGAATATTGATTCTGCAGGCTTACTTACAGGTGGATGTCGTGAGGCTCTGGGTAAGGCAACCAACTGAGCGTCCGAGAACTAACTGCCGCAGGTATGAGGACACATTCAATCTCTTATATTTAGTGATGCAACGTGGAGCAAGTTCACGGGAAAGCGATTTCAGAGGAATATCTTTAGTGGTGAGCCATACCTTGTGTTTTGGCTCATACCTGGGAGCAGGCATTAGATCTTAATCGTTCTGTATAGCGGCACTGACGATCCTCCCTGGTCCAATTCCAGATGCGTTGGACTTGGACCAGATTAAACCGCGAGGTCAGTCTCGACTTATGGGAACAGGAGAGGTCAGTAATCTAGGGAGGCTTCAAAGGGCAAAAGACCAGTTGCAGATGAGGTGAGTGAATTCTGTGCGTACTCTACTGAAGGAAGATGTGAAGACCAGGTTGCTTGGTTTTGTGTGGTGATGCAGCAGAGAGCTGATTCCAGAGTCTCTCGGTTTGGCCATTGGACTGAGGATGGTACTCAGAAAATGGAGGCTGACCATGGCAGTGCAGAGCAGAAGGCTTTCCAAACCTGTGAAGTAAAGCGAGGCCCTCTATCAGAGACAATCTTCATAGGAATGCTGTGGAGTCCAAAAAACATAATCAACAGGAAGCTTGGCCGTCTCTTAGGCAAAAGGCAGTTCATCTAGAGCAATCAAATGAGCTGATTTGGAAAATCTGTCTATTATGGAATGAATAATGCTTTTCCCCGGTTGGTGCAGGTAAACTCGTGACTAAATCTAGTGGAATGGATGACCATGATCTGTGAGAGGGTATCAGTGGTTGGAGCAAGCATAACAGTCATTGTCTTCATGCATGCTCAATCATCCAGGTAAGGAAATCTCAAAAGGTTGATTCTGTTCATCTGGACGTAGCGTTTTAATTGGGAGAAATGTTTCGTCACTCATCCAAGTGACTTCTTCAGTCTCAGCTGACTGCAGGTTTCCCCAACAGGGGGAACTGGCAGGACAAGGTATCAGGCTTGATATTCCTGGAACCTGGACAATATGAGACTGAGAAGTTAACGTGACCAAAGAGCAGAGACTAACGGGCTTGGCAGATGTTAAGTCTTTTAGCAGTTCTTAGATAGGTTACATTTTTGTGGTCTGTCCAAACAGTGAAAGGTTGCTCAGTTCCTTCAAGCAGGTCCCGCCATTCTTCTAGGGCCAGTTGACTGCTAACAGCTCCTGGTCACCCATATTATAATTTCACATTGTAGGAGTAAGGCAATGCAAGAAGGCACAGGGTTGGAGCTTACCTTGGGGCCCCGAATGTTGACAGTATGACCCCCAACTCTAGAATCTGATCTACCGCTTTACTGAATGGCTGTGAGGTGTCAGGGTAGACTGAAATGGGTGCAAAGGTGAACAACTGTTTTAGCTTAACAAAAGGTGGAGGTGAGGTGAGTTAGCGGTGCGGCTACCTGGCTGTAATTCAGAATGAAATGTTGGTAGAAATTGGGAATACCAAGGAACCAAGGTGAGGTGTGGAGACTCTTCAAGGAGACCAGCGTCCAGGTAATTGAGCTGCAGGAGAGTGAAGCGGGGACTTGACAAGGAAGTTGGAGACACAAGGAAATTACAGAGCATGAGCACAAAAACAAGAAACAATGAGGCCTGGTTACCACCATGAGGTAGCTGACGAACTGGCCGGAGAATAGATGGCTGAGCTGGTCTTAAATATAGCCTCGCTGGTGAGTAGGGCAGGTGAGGAACCAGGGCTGCGCCCAGGCAAACAGGACAGCAATGTGAAAATACCAGATCCACTCATTCAGATCCTGACACATCCTTTTGGTTTTTACTTTTTTAAGTAAATGCATCATTTTTGCATTTTTTGATGAAGTCACTGATGTTTCTATGCAGAGACCTAAACATCTACCAGAACAATCCTGCAGGTTGGCATCGGATTTTTTTAGAAACCATCAGTTGTTTTGTTTAACTTTTGTTCAAAACTTCTAACACAGTGAAATGATCCAGCTCCCCAGACGGGGACAATCTTACCCGGCATGTGCAGAGTAAGTTTAAGCACTTCAGCTCATTTCTGGTTGAAGAAAGTAAAGATTACAGTTGGCGCCTTACCAAAAAAAGCTGGGATGTAGGCGATCTGAAGAAAGGTTGCCACAGTGCCATCACAATTAAAAGTTGGTTTAACATTTGGTATCAAAATAATAAGATTTGGCCATTTGGCAGATGTTTGTTGGGTTAAATGTTACACATCATGCACATTAAGGAGGGGAGGCATGGTGCACTATAGGTTAAAAGCTATGAATTGTGAGCTGGCATTGTCAGCTGATGATGAGTTGTATAAGGGTGAAGGGATTACTGGCCACTGCTAATCTGATGCCCCTCCGCTGAGGTGGAGAAAGACACAGAGAGAAAGAGACTGTAGTGTGTTGCTGGGCGGCTGCCCGACAGCTGTGGGCCGTGCGGGCAGCTGATTTACTTTAGATTAGTCTGGACATGCGCCAACTAGGATTCAATCAGGCCATGATGAATGTGCTTTGGCTCACTGAGAGCTAACTGCTAAACTGACTGCTAACAGCGCACCTCACTGCCTGTCAAGGAGGGCTAACATTTTGGGGCTTTCCAAAGGTCCCAGAGGTGTTTTGTTTTCACTTTGTGCCAAGGCTCTGCGACGTAATACAAAGGACCACTGTGTTTCCTCTCTGCGGTGGATTTATTCTCCGCAAAATAAACCGGCGGGATTATAAATACGGAGGGAGATAAATCCTGTTTTTTTTCGTGCTGTTGAAGTGAGGTGATATTCTGTAGCCATGGCTACATGTGAGTATTTGATGTTGTCTGTGGGTTTGATTTAGACGATAAAGACTGGGATTTAATCATTTTTATCTTAAATCGGTATAATCGTCGCTCTTAATTTGTAGCTGGTTTTAACAGTTGTAGGAATGATGGCCTAATGGAGCAAAAATGTTTGAACTTTCATGTGACACAGTTAGAAATCACAGTTCTATGTGCTCTGTATCTCTATTATTGTCTGGCCTTATAACTCCTATATTAGATCTTTTGTTATATCATCTTCTTCAATCCAGAAAAATATGCATCTTAATAAAGAAGAACGCTGCAGTACCCATGAAGGTGTAACAGTTCTGTAGATGAGATCATGATGTCCACGTGGAGCCGCTGAAGCCCGCTAGTCTGTTTTTTTCCCCTTTCAGTTCTTGCTTTTAAATTAATCAGCAAACTGAGGTATGAACTGAAACACGGTCATGCTCCTAAATTCAAATCATAAAAATATTATCGATAAAATTAGAGCTGTTTTAGAGGAAAGCATGATCTCTTACAGGACCCGTCTGACCACAGCCTCCGACAAGCTGTGTTTACAGAAAATAGATCAAACGGCAGAGTTTATGACATCACGGTGCTCTTTGTGCTCTTTAATATTTTATTTGTTTTTGCAAAGGATGGAAAGAAGCAAGTATGGGACTGGCATTTTTTTATATTAGAGTTGGGTGTTTGTTGATACACAAGCAAGACTCTTAATGTCTATGAAAAACTGATTCTGCTCCAGTAAAGTTATGGTGCTAAACTAAAAGCACATTAAAGTTCACCTGCGTTGTACAGATGTTTTAATGCTGCAGATTTGGCCTCCTGACATCAAGCAGGTCACCCACAACCCATCTGGAGTTAGGGGTTTGGATAAAGTTAGAATCCACCTATTTTTATGGAATTATGGAAAGTTAGATGCTAAGAAAGTTTCTGAAAATGTACCTTTTAAGCATGTTAAACAGTTCAGAGCTAAGCCCAGATGTGTTGCTGGTGACCTGGTGGACGTTCAGAGGTGATTTGAAATGAGTTTGCCAAACTCGTCTTTCCTTTCGACCTTTCCAGGTAATGTGGGTATGCAACCAGTGCCGTAAGCAACAGGAGATTCTCACCAAATCAGGAGAATGGTTTTCGGGGTCAGGGGTGCGGCCCGGGAGCCTGGGCACCTCTTTAAACAATCCAGCCACGGGAGGTGAGGCCCAACGGGACAGGAAGCTGCTCCGCTCCAGGTCCCAAGCCCCACCGTCCAGCACCAACGCCAACACAGGGCCACCAGACGGGACACATCCGCCCGGCGGTGTCACTGCTCCCAAGGGCGCTGACACCATGCCTGGCTCTCGCTCTCAAAGTGAACCCCCAAGAGAAAAGTGAGATTCCTCTTTATCTTTGCCTCTTTTCATTTTTAACATAGGAATTGGTGAAAGCTAGCAGTACTGCAGGATTCAGTTTTCATGGTATAATAATTTGCTGAAGCCCTTGTTGTGTTTTTTAATCCGCTATGTAGCTCTGAGTCTGCAGTAGCTTAACCAGAGAAGAAGGTAGGTCACAGGCAGGTCTTGAGAGGTCTTTGACTCAATCCCTTTGTTTTAATTCTTTGGGTGTGTTAGGTAAGAATTCATAGCTGTCTCATCCTGGTTAGTAGTTTTTTAATCTGTTGATAGCCCTTCGTGACTGAACTAAGAAGATTTTGAAAATAAAAAAAGAAAGAATATTTAAAAAGCACAAAATATTTCTGTCAAAAAGCATGCAAACAATGCTCCTGTGTTTGTGTTTGCTTTTATAAAATAACCGAATTTCTTTTCTCATTTAGGAAAAGGCCAGTTTCTTTCCATGAGCAAAACGGTAAGGGAGGCATGGGACGTGGTTCTGCCCGGAGACAAGCAGACAAGTTGTATTCACAGTCATCTCTGGACGAGCGGGTGGTTCCCGGAGACAGAGGAGAGAGAAGGTTAGGAGATGGAAGGCGGCTGGAAAAGATCCACTCTCAGGACTACGAGGACGGGAATGAAAACCTCGGTCGTTCAGAAACACACCGCAGGCGTCCAGAGGATGAGGAGAAGAGGGAACGGCAGCGGCGCGAGGAGGAGTTCCAGAACCGCTATCGCAGTGACCCCAACTTGGCAAGATACCCAGTCAAACCACAGAAGGAGGAGCAGGAGATGCGCATGCACGCCAAGGTGTCGAAGGTGCGGCATGAGCGACGACACAGTGATCTTGCAATAAATGAGGTCGGACTGGGGCCTGGTGAAGGGGGTGGGAGTGGAGGCAGCACAGGAGAGGTGCCGGAAAACCGTCTTGCCAGGAGGGGTGGAGGTGGGGAAGGAGACCGCAAGGCCCTCATGGAGAATCACAGGGCCTACTCTGCAGATAGGACCGTGGGGGTTGTAGGTGGGGCTCCCCCTGCCAGTGGAGGGGGAAGATCAGGGTCCCAACTCGGGGGACCCGTGCCTTCAGACTGGGGTCCAAACAACAGTCGCCTGGAGCATGGACCCCAAGACGGAACGCGGACATCAAGAGAGAAGGGTGGGGTGGATAACCTGCTGAGGAAGGACTCTCAGGGCTCGGACCAGTCGGAGTCTTTGCGGCCACCCCCTCCACAGTCGTACAAGGGCAAGCGCGGAGTCAACAAGAGGCAGATGTCCATCAGCAGCTCAGAGGAGGAGGGCGGCTCCACGCCCGAGTACACCAGCTGTGAGGACGTGGACATGGAAAGTGTCAGCGAGAAAGGTCAGTCAGACAGATGTGCTTACTAAGCTGAACCTCTCCTTACACCGTTAGCCACCATCCATTTCTGTACATTAGAAACTTTTCCTTACTCGTTGAGGCTTCTTCTTCTTCTTTTTCACTCACGAGTCTTCTCGTTATATTTTGCTAATGATCTCTGGCTGGTCTTATCTAGACCACACGTTCATACTTTGTTTCCTCATGTAATCCTCATTCTGTGTAAGTGAAACACTTTAATGTGGTCTCTCCTGTATTCTCATCATTGTCAAGAACCATGCCGACACTGTGCGCCCGGCGTGCTCTGAGCAAGATTAGAATCACAGCAGATCTGATGACTAATTGAAATCTGATCTGCTGCTAATACTCTGGGAGACAGACAGATCAATAGACCGGACAAGAGATCTGCCACAGTTTTTAACCACTTTGATCAGATATAAGGTAAAATAAAAACATAATCTCACACTTCATAGATATATTTTCCACTGGATTCTGCATCGGTAGTGGAATTGCAAACAATGTGAGAAAAGCCAGATGTATTTTGACCCCCAAGATTACTCTAAAACCAACACTTTCTAGTTTTGGACTGTGAAACTATATGATAAGCGATAGGATAAAGTGCCCACCCAGCATGCAGTGCATTACTATCCCTGTGTGTCATCTACACCTCTGTGCTGTGGCTAAACCCTGCTGCTCTCAGGACAGCTCTCATTTATTTGGAGAGTCCCTGTGATTTAGGCCAGCAGATTTGTGGAATTAGGTCAGTGGCTCGCTGGCTATGTAATGCTTTGCTAACAGCCAGCTGCAACAGCCAACCATGTCCCACCGACTAAATTCAAGCCTGGTTGCAGTTGCACGCTACACGATTTCTGCTATCTTCTTGGCACTTATGGATTTCCCCGCACTAACAGAAATCAAGGGCTGTGCTAAAATAACCCACGCAAGAGTGTTTGGGTTACTGCATCAGCTTATCTCTCGCTGGTCAGCCCCAGAAGGATGGTGTTCCAGATGTTTTAATCCAGCTTACTATAACTCAGGGACTGGTAATGGGTAGATGGTGTGGATTGGGATTATTAGCTGTTTTAAACACTCTTTAGCTAGCTGGGCCTCAAAACAGGATGTATCCTTTTACTCTCATCATCTCTGGCAATAAGAAAAAGTCACAGGATAATAATGTAGCATGCGTTGTGCGATGGAAGGCATTGCATTGTCAGATTAATGCTGGTGTCATTTTAAATTAGACATGACCAGAGATCTTTTTGGTTTAAGAAATCACGTGTCATTACATGGATCTGAGATGTAACTAAAAAGTTCGACAGACTGTATCAAATCCCACCAATCAGCACTCATCTTGAAGCTCCTCTTGAAGGCACTTATTGGTCAGCTATTTAGAAGCATTATCACGGAATGTATATATATATATATATGTGTATATATATATACGTATATATATGTGTATATATATATATATACGTATATATATGTATATATATATACACATATATATGTATATATATCCCTCCTTAGCATACATTTCTTTACCGTATAATATGAAAATATGAATTGATGGAATATTTGGTCAAGGATGGGAATATTGTTAGTCTAACATGCATGTCAAGAGAACTCGAAAGCAAATGATGCAAAAAGGCTGAGCAGCAGGTTTGATTCAAGAGCATTCTTCCAGTTAAGTGACCGTGCTGTACCACCACTGTGCCACCCTGGCTCCTGGCTCTTATTTTCTGTCATATATACACAGTTACTAAGTCATATGGTGTAGTTTAAAGCCGTATTTGAGCCCTCGAAAGCTCAGGTGACATTCTGTTATTTTACTTATGCAAAAATATAATGAATGAAAAATTTGTTAAAGTTTTGCGAAAAGTGATAAAAAAGATAAGATGGGTTTGTGTATCACTGTTAGGATCCAAGTATAAATATGATGACAATAAAATTCAATTCAACTCTGATGTTGAAGCACTCTATTAACAAATTACCACAGCATTGCTGGTATTAAACCTTTTATGTGTGGTCAAGCTCTATGAGCCAAACGCTCAGGTTTCAGAGACTTATATCAGTTATTGGCTGTATGACGATC